GAAATATGACACGAGTCATACAACGAGCTGACTGTATACCAATTTATAATAATGTCTCTAAACACAGTTCCATTTGGAAATTCATGTGAAACTGTACAAATAACTCAAACTATAATAATCGGATTGGGATTGCATCTGCATCTTGATTACATTTCTCGCAATAGAAAGACGCCACTCATCGTCATCAAAGAGACCCACAGCTTTAGAATAATGCTCTCGGTGCAGGGATTTAAAGATAGAGTCACTCAAATGCAAAGCTAAATTAAACTCAAAACTCTTGACGAGTGATGTTACGTTTGCTAGTCGTGTGACTTCTAAGTCCCAGCTATATAAGGAGGAAGATGGGCAGCTACGAGACTAGAGGTTTGGGGAACTGTATTTGGGTGGAATCTGGTATACAACTGAAGAACAAAGGCTTGCTGGCCTTGAATTGACATACTATTGACAATATAATAGTTCTACTTGAATTTGATCATAATACGTAAACACGTAACAAGTGATATAATTGTCCGTAAAACAGAAATGATCAACAAACGGACACTCAAACTAACAGTGCTAAATAACTACTACAAACTACGTAAATATGAAGAGACCTCAGGAAATCCTTTAGAACTAAAAACAATTTGTTTAAAAATTTGAATGATTCTTATTTGAGCTTCAGACTATAACGTTATTGAAATTCTCCATCATGAGCGACTCTTATTTGTATTTTTAAGAAATGTGTTTTGGCTCAAGGACTTAGGGAGCTAAATTAATGCATCGTCCAGGCGGTGATACTTCTGCAGCAATAAAACTGCCTGTCCTATTATTTAGAAGAAATCTATCGCGTACAGGTTATCCGAAATATTTAAAAGGTTTTATTTTCAGTGAAAAACCTTGAAATCTTTTACTTTTAATTCGAGACACAAGCCCTAGCGTCCTTTTCGACCGGCATTAAATTATTGTGTGAATGATCAGTTCTGATCGGGCAAATCCAAATTTATAAGATAATTTTAGTTATTACGAATTTTTTAATGTTCTGTTGAAGGTTTTGAAACCAAGTATTTTATAAGCATTGTTTAAGTGCCGATTACAGAATGCGTACGTTATTGGGCAACTGCCCATACATATGGCAGCTATGAATCACGTGTACAAGATAACAATTATCAATGGACAAGGTTTCAGAGGTCAAAATTTGCGGTCCTTAGAAACCTGGAGGTCATAATTCGCAGCAATTATTTCCAAATTTGCTAACTAAATTTTCAAAATACTCATTAAATTCGGGTGAATCTCAAGGATCATTCTTCAATCATAATTTTATGCATTCAGTTTCTCGATGCAGAAGAAATGCGGCGGAGTGCCAAATCCTGAAGGGTCTTCTTTCTGTGCTTGTCGTTGGTGTTGATGCTGGCACCGCGTGGCACTGCGGCTGGCACCTTCGTCAGGATACGGTTGAAGAACTCAACGAAGAAATTGCCGAGCTGGCGCGACACTTCAGGCCGGACTTCGTCGGCCACCGTTTGGTAGTTGTTGTTCAGGAAGTGGTGGACAGTGTCACCTGCGAACGATTGGTAGTTTTTATTTTGTATTATGATATCTGCTGTGAGGAATAGTTCCAATTTGAAATTATCTATCATGTCATGCAGTTGTTCAAGAAGTGTCGGATCATATACATAACTCAAAATAAAAATTTTTTAAATTTTTACAAATATTAGAAAAGTAATATATTTGGAAATTATTGTATCAACAAAACTTAAAGACTTGCAATGATTACATTTTTATTCATTTTAATGCAACTGTCACTAAATTCATATTGCATTTATCAAAAGTGAATGAAGCTAAATAAATTAATACCTTTTTGGATTTCGCATAACATAAAGCTCGTGCAGGTAAGGCATGCGAAATTTAATGCATTTCACTCACCCATAACTCGGTTGTTAGGGAAGAGGTTCTCCATCTTGGTAACCATGGTTTTGAAATCGAAGTCCAGCTTAATGTTGCCTATGCGCAAGAAGCCTGCGTGGGGCCTGACTTCGCCGATACCCTCAACAGAGATGCCGGCTGTGCACAAAACGCATTGTATATTTTACACAAAATCTTATAACAAAAACTATTCAAAATTCTATTGAATGGGTGACCACAAATGAATTATTACTTGAATTATTTCGCATGAATTTAATTGCACACATGATTGCGATTAAATATTCCATCCCTTTAAATATTGGCAAATAAATTGGACCAAATTAATTACTTCAGGTGAATGAGGAGCATGCCGGAGGGCAGTTATGCCTAACTTCACACTTTCGTTCATATTCCTTTCTGTGGGTAAGGACGCTAGAGGGCATAGCAGCCTTTGAGTTCAAGTTTTCAAAGCCCATGTGCTTTATGTCCACATCCACTGCTTCAGCATTCTAAGTTAAGCATGGTCTTACTTCATTGGCTTAATGATCTTAATCGATCGATTCCGGCTTAACATTTTCTGGCCTAACCTACTCACGTCGCTACAATTCTATACCCAAATCAAACCTGAGCAGACCTAATCTTATCTCATTGGCTGCAGGTGGTTAGAGAGGTGGAGCCAGTGAGCAGGTATGGCCAGTCATTGGCTGCAAGAACGTTGTGAGTAAGGACAACATGAACAGATTAGGCCAAAAGAGGTTAGGCCGGAGTTCGCGAGGCCGTATGCAGAACTGCCTGCTTATGAATGAGCATGCTAAAATATTGGCTGAAAAACTACGGCTTTACTATCTTGAACCAATGTTTCATTAGTCTGGTTTACGGTGTTCCAGCGTAGTCCGCGGCTTCTAGCTCTGAGGCTGAGTATAGTTATTGTATCTGAGGCTGGGCATTCGCTCCAAAACTTATTCTCACCCACCAGGTTAATGTCAGAAAATTATTTATAAAAATCTATTTTACCTGAAGAATTCAAATCTTCATATCAACTCATGAATATGATCATTAGTAATCACACATGAATTACTGCAAATTATATACCTCGTATGGATAAGCTTGAATGAATTGAGATAAATTTATTCCAACTTGAATATCATCAACAATACTTGTACAACATATTGCAATACATTATTGAGCAATGGTGTTACAATGAAATAAGTCTTAACAATGAACTAAGTGATGACAATGTGGAGCGTCAGTTCAGTCAGCTGGCCTTGGTAACAGCTCATGACGCTTCCCTAAATCTGAGACAATCCCCACTACAATGCCTCACTGGTATCCTCACTTCCTGACGCTACACCTGATTTTTGATAACCGTAGAAACCGCATTTAGCACCGGGCAACGACAAAAAAATTAGAATGGTTCACGACAGTGACAGGGAACAAGTTAAAAAATAAACAACCACTTTGAGTTATGAAGAATAATTTGCTTCGATGCTTACTGTAAAGTGTCCCCCCGCTCCTCTCCCTCAACTTACTGTAAAGTGTCCCCCTATCACCCTCTCCCTCAATGGGGAGCTCGAAGACACGACCTCCGATCTTGTACTTCCCCCGGACGGTCATGGATGGGAGGGTGATCCCAAAGTGCATGGAGCCGTTCTGCACGTTCAGGCTGGAAGACATAGAACAGAGTAATTTGTGAACATGTAGCTGGACCGTCTGTCGAGATAGGGTCAAGATAACCGTGGCAAGTTAATCACTTTTACAGTTACTCTTGGTAATTTAAGGTTGGTCAGTCCTATTTTTGTGGCAAGCGTAATTCATTGATTCTTCTTTTCGCATTTGCATGTGCACAAATGCATCACATGATTAGAGCGTCGGTAATTCTGACTTAAAATTATATTATGCTGTATAGAACGTGGTTTGATGGTGAAATAATTAATAACTTGAGTTAAGAAAGTTATTGGAAGTTAGAGACTAAGAGTGAAATGTTGAGAAGGCTACAGGAATTTGGGTTGAAACTGTGTAAAGCCTGCATAAGGTGCTATATTGTTCTCGAGATCGTGAGACCGAGGGTTTGTTTATAGTTTGAAATGGCGAGAATATCAAAGGTGCTGACCTTGTGGAACTTACAACCGTCGCGGCGTCACTTCAAGGGTATAGGCTTAACTGTGCGCGACGGCTCCCTATATAAGGACCTCAAAATTGGCGCCAAGGGTTGCTGGTTTTACGGAGGTGACCGTCACGCATGCACGGTCTGCAGTCAGCAGACTGTATTTAACGGCCGCGGCCGTGAGGCCGCCGGTGTTACCGTTTTCGAGCATTGACGGTCGTGAGAAATCTGGACTTATCGAAGCAGCCAAGAGTCCAGTGAGCACGTCAAGAAAATCAACATCATCACTACGGCTGCGACTCAGCGGTGAGACAATGCGAGAGGGCCAACGATTATAACGCACGTCATCAGAAGATTTAAGTTCGAGTTCTACACCGGGAGTTATCATCGTTACGGTCATCAGTACGATACGGTCACAATTTCCATCAAGAAGAAGCGGTACGGTCACAGTCATCTTCAACCGAGCGCTACTCACTCGAGGTACTACGCTACTCACTCGAGGTACTTGCGCTACTCACTCGAGGTACATGCGACACTCACTCGAGGTACTTGATGTCGAACTTGGGCACGCCGTACACGAGGGTATCGGAGTAGAAGGCGTTGACCGTGACGGGGCCTTCAGTTTGAACAAACGAGAAGTCGCCCAGGCGTAGGGGGTCTAAGCTGGGCACATTCAGCTCCGGGTTGCCTGGTTAAACAAGGCTCTGTGACTTGGTCTTCACTCGTACTTATCGGACATATCTGAACAATGATCTAGAAATATTTTCCTGTAAATAGGTAAAGGATTTCCACTGAATGTAGATGAATCTGATACTTGTCAGATCTTTCAGTTATTAAAATAAACAATAGTTTTATGCTACCCGATTTAACTGACAAAAGATCATAACAATGCATACGGTTTCGCGGACCCAAGACTTCCGGACACCCAATATTTCAAAGGTTTGATATTAAAATAATAATGATAATAATAATATGATAATAATTACATTAATAATAGTAATAATAATATTGATAATAGTGTTTTCAACGTTTTTTATATATAGGCCTTATAGCCTGCCGCCAATTTTTTCACCCACCTTTGACGAGAGTGGGCTGCACGCGCTTCACGGCGCTAATTAAGCATTCGTTGAAGCGGTCCAGGAACTGCTCGTGGCATTGCTTCACCAGCGTGACTGCGGGTCAACCAACATGCAATGAACATCGGAAATTACACACAATGTTAGAAAATAGGTACATAAATAGTACTTCATCATTTGAAATAACTATTGAACATTAATTAAATATTGCAATCAATATTTGAACTCTGTTAAGATGTTTTCGATGACGTACCGAGTGTCTCTTTTCTATAGCAATTGGGAGTCTAATTTGAGTGCTTTGAAAGGCGGCAGCCGACGCCATTCGAGGAATGAAATTGTTGCCAAAAATTCATTTATTTATTCCTTACATTATTGAATAAAAACATTTACTAAACGCTGTTCTAAGTTATTAGATGAACGGTGAACCATGTTCTCATCGGTGAGGCACGTAACACGGAGGTATTATTTTTTCAATAATATAGAGTAATACCCATTGCCGACCGGGTAAAATTAACGAATTTTTCTTCAATCTGATGACAAAGAGACAAAATTAGTTTCTGATTTCATTAACAAGCTTTCGTTCCTATATTATTCGTTAACCAGCCTATCGCAGCATTGAAATGTATTGTTTTTTAGCGCAGTTTCTCATTTATGGAAAAAATGCACTATTGTGCTCGCCATGTCCGTCCGTCCGTCTGTCTGTCTGTCTATCCGTCCGTCTGTCCGTGACCTCAAGTTTTCGTCGACGAGAAAATTCGCTCTCTGTCACTCACTGCAGTGAGTACTGAGTTATATTTTTTCTATATTTGTGTTTTTATATAAAAGTATTCATTCTCTTATTCATTTAATTTAAAGTAATCACTTTTCATCAACACTTCAGAGCAGTCGATCGTGTGTCAATAAAATGTATCATCATAATACATAAAAAGTCATGAAAGTCTTGCAGGTGTTGAGTCGGTACCTACATTTTGTGAGTGAAAAAAGTAGGTAATATTGACAGTAGGTAATATTGAACATGTATTATGCATAGATGTTAAGAATGCTAAGATGCGGCACCGTTGTTTCGAGACCGTGGGAAAGGTTGTTTACATTGAAACGTTGGCGCTCAGCGCGAGGGACATTCCATTCGAAGGAATGTGGCGTCGGTTTCGAGGGAATAGGCTTAACTGTGGGCGACTCTAGCGTATATAAGGACCTGAGAATTCGCGCCAAGGGTTGTTGGTTCTAAGGAGTTGACCATCGCGCACGTACGGTCTGCAGTTAGCGGACGTAACGGCTGCGGCCGTGAGGCCGCGGTGTTACCGTTTTTGAACATTGACGATCGCGAAAAAACCAGACTTATATCGAAGCAGCCAAGAGTCCGGTGAGCACGTTCAAGATCAAGAATTATCATATACCGGTCATCAATAGTACGGTCACTATTTTCATCAGAAGATCTAAGTTTCGAGCTCTACACCAAGAATCATCAGTACGATACGGTCACGATTTCCATCAAGAAAAATCGGTACGATTGCATTCATCTTCAACCGCCGAAGCACCGCATTGAGCCGAAGTAACATCATCGACGATGAAGACTACGCCACTATTCTGAAGTACGGTCGTTGTAAAACAACCTACGGCCAGACTGGCCGTGTGGCATCTATATCAACGAGATACGACAGCTATGAAGAAAGAGCAACTGTGAAGAGAGACGCGCGATACAGCTGCAGTACGGCCACTTGAAATACGGCTGCAATGCGCGGTGGCAGCCGCGGTACGGTCGCCTGAACACACGACCGTGAACGGGTGCGCGAGTTACGGTCGTTGACAACTGTCATACGCATTGGAACTGCAACGGATTGTCAGGGAACGTCGGTTCGAAATTATATTTAGGGGTATGCAAATCAAATTCAAGTAGGCAGGTTGGATTTATAAACTACAGTTAACGTTACAGACTTAAAGTATGTAGGATACAAGGGAATATTATTGACAATAGTACAAAGTGAATATAAAAAGGTAAGTTGATGCGAGTGGATACGTGAATATAAATTAGTATTTAAACTAGTATGTGAACTCGTGGGACAAGGTTCGGTCCTAAAGATCTGGGGCCATACTTTCAAAACTCGCTAAGTGAACGTAAGTACTTACGCTCTATTTTCTTGTCTATGATTGGTGGATTTTGCTTGAAAGGCCGTCAATGATTGGATGATGAACTTACGATCTCTTAACTTTTTTTGAAAGTATGGCCCTTGACCTGCGCAAGAAACAAGCCTAAATTAATAACTATGCATTTAAATTGATTTATCTTCAGTTAGTTCAAATTTATCAATCATAAATACCAACACCATAGTTTTATCCTACGCTACACAAATACACAACAAATATTGCCCTACGCTTATATGCTCACCTGCTCAGTGTGGGAGAATAAGGTCGACAATTTATACAGGAGACCCAGCACTGAGCAAAGTGACGGTATTGAAGAAAAAGTCTATTACAGTAATGTGGATGGACCCCTCACACGGATCACACACTTTCCCCGGTAATATTAAATGATTTAAATGATGATTTAACTGATAGATTTTGGGACTTTGATTTTTTGCGGATTACATTTTTCATGTACTAGAGATTTTTGTTAACGTAGGATGTGAACTTGAATTTCTCAATTTAATATGAAATGTATCAGTGTTTCATTAAAACCCTCTCTTTGTACTATATTTTGCCGGAACCTGTCCAAAAGAGAACCTTATTCACGTGCCAATCAAGTGCCACTCGGCAAACCACCTGACAAAACGATAAGTAATGAATACCGGTATCTTGAACCTGAACCTGAACATAACGTAAAATTGGTGGAGTAATCACTCCGATTCTCCAACTTTAAGATATATGAGACGATAGGAAACGTCTCGTCGTCTATTCCTTCCCTTTTTAAACCCAAATTTGATCATGAGGTGCAAATTTTCTATTAAAGTAATGAGCGTGTGGATGTGAGTTTAATTGAAAATTGTGTGGTAAATAACATCTTTTTCCAATCTAAAGCATTTTTTTCATTTCATGTTCTTTGTGATGGATGGTAATGTTGGGAGTCATCGATTTCACTGGACATTCGATTGATGGTATTCGAAAGTCTTCAATTAATTAGAATTAAATAAGATGATTATAGTCATAAATTAACTAATCAATCTTTGTCAGTCTCATCCCGGGCTCAGCACTTTTTGTGTGACCTCCAAATGTGGCAGAAACCTGTTTGTTGTGTCCTTGATTTGCGCCTTTGTGGCTAGCTTCGCATGAATTTTGATGCCTGTAAAATCTAAGATTTTCTGTCAGATCTGAATTATGCTCCTATTCCTCCTAGATATATATTCATTTGGAGTACTTGCCAATGCTGCCAACTACTGCTCTCGTGGGTCATTTAGGTCAGAACCCAGAAAAATGTACGGGTCCCATTGTCTGAATCGTGAAATATTTCTTTGCACACAGCACGAGCAGAGAGCAAACGTAGCACTGATACGTCTTATTGCCGGGCCAAACTTGGTCAGAATGACCCATACGAGGGGGAAAACTGCATCGTAATGTGAACGAGTTTAGTTAGTTTAGTGGCCAAATGTATAGCGCTTCAGCTATTTAGTTATCTCGCACCGAAAGTTAGGATGAACATCACCAAAGAGGTGGAAGGTCTCAATTATTCATCACCCACAAGGGGCGGAAGGTCTCAATTGTCCATCTCGCTGAAGCTGGCTCGAAAGAAGCAGCGTTAGCATCTCAAAGAGATGATATGACAGGGTGGCCCAGTGGTTAAAGTTCAGAGTACCAAGATTGGCGTAGAGAGGCGCGGGTTCGATCCCAGCTCTGTGCGCCAGTTTCTGGTCAGAATCGGCAAGGAGGCCGGGCGGTTAAGCATAGCAGAATTGTAGCAGTGAGTTGCGAGTTCGAGACCGCAAAATGCTGTGAATGTTCTGCAATGTTAAAAATCGGCGACAGGCCTACGGCCTAATAACGCTGAAACCGCTATTATGACAAGGAGGGACAGGTGAAAAGCAACAGAAACTAACGCATTCGAACAAGAGGTCGCTTACACAGGACGTTGGCCGCCCACACGAGAGAGACAGAGAAGGGAAACGTAAGGAATCCTACCTACATAATAACTTAACCCCACAAGTCCACAGCTGAGACCTGCAGTCAGACACCGCGAGCTCAGCGGTGGGGCGCTCAGGAACAATCCCCCTAGGAGCGCGAAATCCCATAGGACTTCTGACGAGCACAGACACATGACAGAAGTAAGGGTAATGTGGACGAAGTTTCACTGGTTTTCCTGAGTGCGACCGTGGCTAATCTGACCAAAATATAATGTCTTCAACAGGGTGTGACCGCCTGGACTTGAAGAAAGGCGAGAGGCTTATAATAATTCAAAAATGTAAAATAAAAATACTGAAGCTGTCGACTTCATGGCAAAGAAAAAAATCTGAAGCAGGCTAATTTTTTCGCATTTATTGTCCAAAACTCACATTAATTTAAGCCTTCGGACGCGAACTTTGTGCAACTGTGATAGTTTGGCATCAATAAGGTCGGGACATGGTGCAAAAATTCGTGTTTAAATTAGGTGAATTTATTATTGAGTATTCATTAGCTGATGGATGAATTGATCGGAATTTAATTCGAACTCCAAATCTGGCAAATAAATAATTATCAACTTGACTGGATAAGTTTCTATTACAACGATGATAACTTCCTTCCGGGGTATATATGAAGTTAATTCTTCTAACACTTTAGAACACTTCTAACACTTCTAATTTTCTTTATTCTACTGTAGACAGCTTCTACTGTAGACAGTATTTATCAATAGAAACAACAATAATTTGACCAAAAACTATACAAGTCTATTGTGATGATCATTTTAATCTTTTACGTAGATTGTTAACTAGTTCCTTTAAAACCATACGAATATGGAAGAATTTAAAAGCAAAGAAAACGCCAAGTAAATTTAACATATCGATATTGAGAACATTTCGGAGTCCAGCTCCATCATCAGTCGACAATCTAAAAATGAATACAATCATTTTATAAATCAAAATTCCAAGTCAGACAAAAAATTGTGCTTGATAAAATCAGACGTTTCTTCTCTAACAAATTTTCTGAAACTGCGACTGAATGCGATAGTAGAAAACTATTTATTGCACATTGCCCTATTTTTGGTAGTGCATCTGAAACTATGTCCAAAGAACTAAAGATTTTGTTAATGAAATATTTCCCGAATATTAATTTCTATGTTTTGTTGGTAAATAATTTCAAAATTAGTTCTTTCACCAGGTATATCGACGTTATTCCTGCCCGGACGCAATCAAACCTGGTCTATGAGTAAAGTTGTGCGCGCTGCGCATCTGCGTACGTTGGAATGACGTCACGTAACTTCTACATCCAAGTTTCTGGCCCTATACTTTCAAAAAAAGTTATGAGATCGTAAGTTCATCAGTCAATTATTGACGGCCTTTCAAGCAAAATCCACCAATCATAGATAAGATAATAGAGCGTAGGTACTTACGTTCACTTAGCGAGTTTTGAAAGTATGGCCTTTGAACACCGCGGCAGGAGCTATCGTTCGAACTTGCTTCTCGGCAAGCCTCCTCATTCTTCCCTGCGCCTCCATGCTGTATCTGAGAGTGATTTCAGGATACTCGGTTCCACTTCTAGCTGTTCGGATTTGAGAATTTTGGGATCTCTACATATCTTCAAACGAAAGCTGTGTCTCAATAATGCGTTTAGCTGATATCCTCTTAAATAGTGAATCGCTAGGCTTTTATGTTTCAGAGTTTTTTCTTAGATTTTATTCTTTTCGTGTCTTCTATGACTCATTGTTCCGCGAGTCCTGTTTTTCGATTTAATGTTAGGTATTTCTTAGGTTTTATGTCTGACTTAGAATTTTGACTTATAAATCGAAACATCAATCGAAAAAACTCTAATAACAAAACTATATTGATTTGACTCGTATATTTTTGGAAATAAATAAATGGCAATACGGAGGTTTTGGAAACGATTTTCAGAATTTTGTACTAACCACACAGCTTTAACTTAATACGAGTTAGCTCAAGGGAAGCTCTGCGTTCAAAACGCGAACATTTACGTATATTTTGTTCATAATACAATATTCATCAATATGCATCAATTATGTATTCATAATTCAAGTGATTAGTCTCCAAGCTAGAAAGAAAACTTTTGTTGTGCACTTTATAGGCAAAATTAACCTAATATTCATTGGATAAATATAGGATAAAATCTACTTCTATCTTCAATGGGTTACCTTAAGATATCTAAAATTTCCCATGAACAGACGAGTTTGCCTCGATAGGTTACAGGATGCGGCTGCTGTTTAAAAAACCCTTAAATTCAAGGACACTTCGAGCGACGTAAGCTGTGACCTCCGGCGTTATTTCCAAACATTTTAGAAGAAATTGGTGGGGGAGGAGGGTTATAGTTGGAATAGCAGCCACAAAAACTGGCTGGTGTGGGCAGTTGTGCTTTGGTCTTTTTTTCATTGAATGATATTTTTTGGACGGATAAAAAATAATCCCAGTTTTGAGCGCTGATATCCAATTCCAGTTTTTAGGCGACGAGCAAGAGAATTTTGGTTCAGTAATGGCTTATATATAGGCGATGAGCTAGAGATCTTGGTTCAGTAATGGCTTTACTTTAGGCGATGAGCTAGAGAACTTTGGTTCAATAATAGCGTAAATTTGAAAATGAATAAACTTATCCACTCACAATAAATCTCATTTCCAAAATCGCAAATTTCTGTAAATTAAACCCATGTCTGTTTCATCAAAAGTTGCAGTTAAACATATTAGGTTTGATCTACTTTTGTAAAATGTGTAAATAAAAAACACGAAAAGGCAGAGACATTCGCAATAATGCGCATTTGATAGGTTGCACCTTAGAAGGATCCAGTACGCATCCAGAGATCCTATTTGTTCAGAACATTACTTCAGATGTCCTACGATGACTTGATAACTCAGATGATGATGATATGACATCATAAAATTATTTCAAATACCTCTTTTTTAACAAACTTGCACCTGCAAACGCTTGTAAACTATTCAAAGAATATTAATAACAATAATCATATGTTGCTTCTATGATCACTTAGAAATAATCTTCAATTTCAAGATCACTTGTCACGCGTATAGGAATTCTCGATGTGATTTGTATCTGTTGAACGCTACAGATAGACTAGCTGCAATAAATTTTATGAACACGAATCAATATCTCAGAATAATGGATCTTGTTAAGAAAAAGCGCCACATGCAGTAACGTCTGGGGTGCTAATAACAAAATCTAGAATTATTACCGATTATTTAAAAAAATATACCTCAGTACTCACTGCAGTGAGTGACAGAGCGCGCCTTTTCTCGTCGACGAAAACGTGAAGTTACGGACGGACAGACGGACGGACGGACGGACAGACGGACATGGCGAGCACAATAGTGCATTTTTCCATAAATGAGAAAATGCGCTAAAAATATTTCTTTTTTCGTGCGACGATTTGAACGACTAATTATCTTATATAGAAAAGGTATTAAGAATCGCCATCTAGAGTTATTGAAAGTTATCGTGTCTTTAATTCAACGTTTCCTAGAAATAAATTCTTTAGAAACTGCAAATATTTTTTATTATTTTTCAAATTCATTAGTTTTTTACCGCATATCAGAAAATTTTCAATCCTTATATTGAAACAAATTTTTAATTACCTGTTATACTGCTAATAGATGATAATTGAGTGATAGATATTTTGCAAACCATGAAAAAAATACAGTTAAAATTTGTTTGTCAACCATTGGCAAAAGAAGATTTCTGAAGACATGTACAATTAACTGGGAGAACATATTTTTCAAGTAGACAAAATAGATGATACAAACGTTCATTTACCTAACAGTATCCGTTTACTTAAAAGATTCCAATACTTATCCTCACTCGTGCTATTCAATATTTTTCATCCACTTCTTAAATAAAGTGAAGTCGATAAATTTTACACATGCAGTTTTAGTCCGTGACTATTATAAACAATTCTTATGACCGCATTGTTATTCACCATCTCGCACAAAAGTATAAGATATACATTCACAAAACATTAATATTGTTCAACATCATTTAGTGTCTGATATATTTTGTGTTCAAGAAAAAAATGCAAACATAATTTTTTTAGTTTTGATATCCATGATCAAATACAGTTTTCTATCCTTAATTTTTTACGTCGCTTATTTGCATAAGCAATCGACGAAATAAATTTGTTCGCAACTACGCCAAAGATTAAAAATTTGTTCTCACCAAATTGCTGAGCAGAAACAAGGTGTACGCTGAGGAGCACCACAACCAGGGCGTTGAGGGCACGCATCGTCCAAGACTGATCTGATATTTTCGGTCTTGACTCGAGTTTAATTGCTTCAGAGTTTGATATACTTCAGTCTTCGTGGAGCCAATGCAAGCAACGGGATCACTGCCTGAGCCTGACGCCGCGATGCTAACTACTGAAGGCTGCAAGCGCTCTCAGGTCTTATTATACAGGCTACTGAAGGTTGCTCTCAGCCTACAGCGATTTTGTAATTCATGATTATTTTTATGTAGCGGTAGCGGTAGCGCCCGCTACATATTTAAGTAGCGATACGAGGTTTTACCGCTACAGCGCTACCGCTACATTTGTAGATAAAGCCTTTAGATTTTACTTAATAGTATTAATTGTTATTTAAAAACCAGCATGATACATACATAATATAATATAAAAATTACAGAATGAAACTGTACGAAAGATTTCGGTGTAATATTGTCAACCTCAGCCTGTTACTAGTGTCAAAATGTTAGTTGTTACTTGTTAAGTTGTTACCAGTTACCACTTACAGGTATTTTTTTTTTTTTGTTTCAGTTTGCTTACAGTTATTTTTACACAGTTATTTTAATGTTCCATCTTCCCTACATGGATGTCTACTTTAATCTGCCAATCTCAAAAATAATCCACATATATGTACAAATAAGATTGATTTTTCATATGTATATGTGGTTAATTTTTGAGATTGGTAGATTAAAGTAGACATCCATGTAGGGAAGGTAAAACATAAAAATAACTGTAACTTTTATTTACTGTATCTAACCCGTACTAGTTCGGTTAGGTTAATTGCAAAAAAATGCATTGATATGTTTTGAAAATGTTTTATTATCATTAAATGTTTATGAGTAAATCCATATAGCAGAACAATGAATATATAGAGATTTCCAATAATTTTAGCCATTAATTGTAGCGGCGCTACATTTTACTGTAGCGGTAGCGGTAGCGCCCGCTACAATCTAGTGAGTGTAGTGGTAGCGGTAGCGCCCGCTATATTTAGAGTATGTAGCGGTAGCGGCGCTACATTTCAAAGTAGCGCTGCCCAGCTCTGGTTGTAAGTAATGCAGCGCTGCTCCATGGCTAAAATAGTGAAAAACTCCAACAGCCTGGGAAGTACGAAATACGGCGCTGCCTTATGCATGGGCGGCAGGGCGCCGAACCAAGCAGTTCTTCAGGTCGTAGATTGAATGAGAAGGGGGAAAGGGGTTCGTGAGAGAGAGAGGTGGGTAGCAGCTAGAGGCAGGGGAGGGATCTCCGTTCTTAATGGGAGCGTCTGCCCTAAAATTTATCTCGGCTATTTAGAGACGGATCACTCTGAAACTTGTGCACTTATGTAAAATAGAATAAAAAAGCATTTTGTTTGTGTGAATTTTTCGAAAAAACGTGAAATTCTTAGTAAACGGCCAAAAAGGGGTTCTGTAGAAATCTATCTCCTCCTAGGATTTTCAAGCTACAACATCGAGACACATATCATTCGATGCGTAAAGTCTTTATCTATAAAAGTTTGTCTGCGGTTTTTTGAAATTCTAATTTTCGTGGAAGTAGGGTCATTTTTCAAAAAGTTTTCGGAAATTTTTCGATTTTACCCCCTTTCCACCCCCGCTTTTGCAGAATAAAATCCAAACTATAACGCAATTTGAAAAACGCCAACACAAATTTGTAGATCTGTTATTTTCGAACGAATGATATATGTCTCATTGTTGTAGCTAGAAAACTGTAGGAAATAGGTTTCACTGACAATAAGTTAACTTTTCAGTAGAGCCCGACAAAGTCACGCGAGCCTCGAAATAGACATTCAAGGGTGCAAGGTTGCAAGACTAGACGATACTGGAGCTCAATTTCTATCAAGGATGGTGCAAACGACGGCACGAAAACTATCCCGTACGACTGCAGGCGGATAACTGAAGCACAACGTTTTCAGACTAGCTATTTAAGTGTACTGCCGGTAATCGGCCTATTTTAAATGTGAAAGAACCCCACCACCCCTAACCATTTCGCGATCTGTCGTGAACGCATAAATCTACGTACAGAGATGGTATTGGTACCGTTAGATGCGTCAGAATGTAAGTTTTATTATGAGTATAAAAACCGAAAAGTCAAAATTTTCGATTTTGGGGCAGACTCTCCCCTCAAATTCAAATGACAGAATGCCTTATTTCAGGTCCATTTTTGATTCCAGTTATGATTATTATACGGCGTCATTATTTTAACACTTTGATATACGTAGGTGTTCAGGAGATATCGATTAGTTTACCTGAAAATTTTTTTTCGAACGTGAAATTAGCTAATTTACCCGTTAATTTAGCTAATTTACCCGCCAGGCGAGCTCGAGGCGTCCTTAATTGTGCCAGCGGCAGACAAATGAAAATTTCGATAGGGCTTTTCCCAAAGATCGGATCCGACCTCGGTAAAGTAAGTTCCGTTCACTAAGATCTTCCGATTTGTCTTTTTATATATTTCTTCTTCTCTGTGTGTATATATTTGCGATTGAACCCCAGTTACCTTAGACATTACGCACGTCTCGTCATCTCTAACAAAATTTAGAGGCATGAGCGACCCTGCTTTGGGGCCGTCTAGTACTCGGGCCGCACGTAAATCAGCTTCTCTATGTCCGCTTCGGCTCAGGGTACGGAGGGCAGCCTCTGGGCAGTGTGCTAGCTCTGTATGACTCGGCTCGGCCAACCCTTGTCATACTCTCAGGCGACTATAAAGTCGGATAGGCCGGAGATTCTGACCTGAGACTGATTTCGATCGGGTGGCCAAGCAGACCAGGATATCTTTGCGCCGAGTGTGGTGACAATTCGACAAAAGCCTATAGGCGGTCCCGGAATTTTGTTAGGGCAGCCCCTCCCTCCTTCCCAGGGAGCTCGGGGCTTTGACTCTCCTACTTCACGACCAAGACTGCCCACTATGACCAAAAATCATCCATATTCATCTCATCCCAAATATGCCTCACGGACATCAACTATAGTTGATAGTTGATATATCCGAGAGGCTCAAACCCACTCGCTCATGACCGGCCTACAGAATTCAACTCAAGATAATCGACCATAGACTCACTAATAAAGTCACTATTGACCGCTCTCAAATATTCCAGACCACTTAAAAGAACTAAACGCTCCTTTCTTCCGGCTGACACAACCTCAAGTTTTTACGCCGTTACTGACGACATCTCAGCAATAGACCGATTGACCTCCAAAAAAGCAACTGTTTAAAAAGCAAGAAAGCAACTGATAAGGTCCAAACGCACAATATTTGTAAGAAAGCTAGACAGAGATATTGGCAGACGAACTCCGACTGAGATCCAGCGGGTAATGTCTGGGTGAATCATCGTTGAAAAAACTTAATTCGCGACGTTGAAATAACTTTGAATATTAGTCCAGAATGAAACGCGAATTAACGTCATTTTTTCAAGTTTGTACATTTCGACGTTAATTCAACGTTGAAATCGCGTTGAATGCTGACTTTAAAATCACATTCATTACAGGTTTCATCAGGTTAACATGTTCTACCATGAATGTCACAGTATATGCATAGCACCGTATTACAGTGAGCTGCATTTATTATTTATAGAAATGCTATTTGCTACCCTTTACAGGGCTTAGACAAAATAAGGGAAACGCCTGAGAAGTCCACAAAATATATTATAGGATGGTAGCAATTACAGTCTCAATTCTCCGAGGCATTGATTCATACAATTGTGATTTGTTTTAACCTATTCAATTTTAACCTATTCATCAGTTAAAACTCCCTACAGCTCTTTTAAAAGACGATGGCGGCGGGAAGCGACTTCTGACTTGCATCTCTAAAATCGACCATGAATGCTTTATAATAATCAGATCTGGTTATTGTGGTGGCCAAATTAGATGCTCAACTTTATTATAATGTTCCTTGTGTAATTTCTTAACAATTCCAGCTGTAGGGATCAAGGCATTATCATCGTGAAAGGTGACGTTCCCCACCGGAAGCATTGAATGAACCATTGGATGAACTTGGACCTCTAAAATTTCTAAAGAGTGACGGCTGTTGATTCTTCCATGAAGAGAAATCATTGGCCTGCCGGATTTTCAAGAAATAGCACCCCAGATCATCACAGATACCCCCGCCATGTTTTACGGTTGGGAGGAGGCAGTCTGGATTAAATGACTATTGTCTGTCACCAAACGTAAACGCGGCCAGAGGTTGGAAATAAGGTAAACGATGATTCGTTAGAGAAAATCACATTTTTCCACTACTCTTGGGACCAATCCGAGCTTTCTACACCACTCTAAACGCTTTCACACTAGCACCTGCCATACAGGCACCAACAATTTGGCATCTTAGAAAGTCAGAGATGCTTGCCATTTATATGTTATAGATTAGGTTATAGACACTAAAATTTACTAAATATATCTGTGCAAGAATAAAATATCAATTAGCAGCAACAATAAAATCTAAAAATATGTCGCGTTTTCATTGATTATAACATATTCAATAATTACGGTATCAAAATTTCAGGCGCTTCTTTTATTTTGTCAAACACCTGCATAATCAATTACCTTTACTTCTCTCCTGAATAAATTAAAGTAATCTTAGTGGATTGAAACCCCGGACCTCTTGCTTGCGAGCTTCGCCTTTCCCCACCAGACCACGGTGAACCTTGCATCGCTAGAGAGATTAAGAATTATATTTGACTTAACTTTCTACAGCATAACTCATTGAAAAGTCACTACTGTGTCTAAATTATATAGATATAATTTATTTCACTTATTATTCACAGAAGGAACAATAAAATATGTGAATATGTAAAATAACCAACTCATAGTCACCACATAATTGCAGGTCGGGTGAGCGACCTGGTAAGTAGTACATAAGCGACCTGTAAATAAGGTAGAAAATAGTATATCTATAAATAATGAATGCAGCTCATTGTTATACAGTGCTCATATACTGTGACATGATAGAACATGTAAACGAGATTAAACCTATTATAAATGCTATTTTAACGTCAGAATTCAACGCGATTTCAACGTTGAAGCAAAGTCGAAATTTATTACGTTGAAAAAATGACATGAATTCACTTTTTATTCTGGACTAATATTCAACGTTATTTCAACGTCACGAAGTACGTTGTTTCAACGTTGATTCAACCTGACATTGCCTGCTGGGTTGTTATTATTTTGATGACGTGGGTGTAATCCTTTATTTTGACTATTTAGTGTATGTGGTTCCAGTTCTGTAGTAGCGTTATTTCGGCACAACAATTTCCCAACGAATCGTAAACTAAGGTTTTGCCATGTTCAACACCAGTATCACCTCAAGCCAGTCGGAGCAAGAGAAATATATCCACATTCTGATATGCTACAAATGTTACAAATTCGAGGACCATCCTACCCACCTATGCAAAAGCACCGCACCATCCTGCTCTGAGTGCGCAACGCGACCACACCTACACGCAATGCTCCAACATCCACAAGAAATGTTTGAATTGCGGCCTCGTCCATAGAACACTTGCCGCCAACTGCACGTACAGGGGAGGAAAAAATAATTCTAGACAAACAGAAAAGCATGCAGGACCAAGAATTAAAAAAAGCCACAACACGTGTGTCGAAATAGGAAAATACCCAATTAAGCAAACGAATATATCCCAACAAAACATCACCCATCACTAAGGTCCCCATGCAAATCAAACTCGATCACTACGCTCTCAACTACAAACTGCCTACCTAGTCCTGCAATAAAAAAATGACAAGACCTTATATCAGCACTAAAACTCAAAGAAGGCCCCAAAAATTTTTGAAAATCTGTCAAACGAATGTCAGGCTCCAATAGGAAACAAATAATCCCATACCCCAAGCACAATAACATTGGCTGACAGCTGTGCAACGCCTGTGTTGCATGAGGCAGGGCGACTGTGAATCGCTAGCTCGTCAATCGCTTCGTTGCCCAAACGAAGCGCATAGAATAGAATAGAAGTGTCGGCATTGAAGAAAATAGGCCCATGGCATGTAGACGCTGCACAGAGGGGCGGGGAGGCGCTTAACGCCCGTGTGTTGCCCCTAGTGTAGACGTGCCTTTAACGCGAGTTATAGCGCGACGTGCGTACTCGATCAGCTTCTGCGGGTGCCATACTAAGATTCCCAGCCCTTTTATAGAGTCACGGCTATCGCGTGATGTTTCCCAGACGCTGACCAAGGTCTAGTACTTTTCCATCAATCTCTAACACGTCAAGTGAATATTACGTCTCAATTACAGATGATCATATATTATAATACAATTATAATGAATTTAATGCGACGCCAGATTGACCCCGGGCACTAATCTACCCGCCCATACCACTGCACACTCTGTCACGAACAACAATATGCCAACTGCAGAGAATACAAAACAAAGCACTCAGATTCATCACCAACTTTTGACTCCTTCAGAAAATCCTATGTATATTCCGTAAAACCGAATTATGCTCCAAGCGCTTTTTCGTCACCTAATACTATCGTTTCGGTTTCCATTTCTCCTTTCTAGCCACCGTGAGCAACCTCTTGATCTTTTTCCACATTTCCTAGTGGCACCGCCGCCACCACCAACAAAGATTATTGAGAAGCTGACTGCATAAGACATCTTTTCGAACAAGCCTGTCTACTTGACTCAAAATTAGCACCCATATTACCTGTTACCTACTGTTTTCATGCCAATATACAATCGCGTGGATACCACATCAGTGCACAGATAGGGCCGGAAAGACCGTTTGGGTGACTTATTAGGGCCACTCCTTGGCATAGCATCGACGCCTCGACAGCAGCGGCAGTGAGCGATCCCGGATGCGATGCCTACGAGGCACTTAGTAGTGCGGGCACTGGATGCAATTTAACCGTGCCTAGTGCGATCATTTCTTCTATTTCTTTAGAAATGTCACTCTGATGTACTTACAAATTGTATCATCATACACATTGAGAGCAAAAACGTTTTACAACGAAAAGTTCTCTAGAGTGACACAGCAGTTTCTAATTAATTAGGTCTGTACAAGTGTCAGGAGTGATTGTAATTGGAAAATAGCGGGAGTCTGATTATCTAGGAAAGGATTGAGCTTACTCGAATTAGGAGTGATTTATGGCGAATGGTGTGTGGTACTGGTAACGTAAGCAAAACGAAAAAATGAACGATAAGTTTCGTAGGACTAGTTACATATCGAAATTTGTGTAGTTGGCAAGGAAAATGAGAAAATCGATGTGTTGTATAGGGCGAGTTACATTTGTCAAATTATGTGAGGTACGACATGTAAAATCAGAGAAGAATGGTATATTTCTTGAGGCGAGGTGAGCGTGGTACGATAAGCAAATTGAGAAAGGAATGATAAATTGCGTAGATTTACTTTCGTATGGGCTAGTCGACTGATGACTTCCCCCAAGAAAGATTTTTTATTATCCCTTTAATATGGGTATCATATTAACATCATCAAAACCACGAAATAAAAAGAAAATAAAATGCCTAGAAAACTTTCCATGATTTCCTTGAATTATGAAATTAGGAGAGTAGTAGTATTCGCATTTAAATGGGAGCATTAGTAAGAGTAATAGTAGTATAATTAAGTAAGACTAATACTAATATTAGTAAGACTAATAGTAGTATAAGTAAGACTAATAGTAGTATTAGCAAGACTAATAGTAGTATTAGTAGGGACAAATAGTTTCATTAGTATAGACGATATGTCAAGTAACTCAGAAATATATAATTCAGTGAAGTTGTACTCTGAACTTATGCAAGTCTTTCATTTGGTTTAAAATACACTGTTTGGCCTCCATTGCCGTGGTTGTTACTTTACAATTCATGCCAGGATGGCAAATGGCGACGATAATCCCGAACTAACAAACAATAGGGATAACTGATATACGTAACAGCGCAGTATAAACTGCCTTCGTCTTGGTAAGTAATTTGAAAAGAAATAAAGGATTTGATGCTCACTTAAAAATACAGTACATCTCTTCAACCGAAAGCGAAACGGCTCATCAACTCGAGTAGTTATCAAAACGTCATGGGATGAAGTAATTTCAAATGGATCTTGAAGGCTATCGGAGCTTTCAAAAAATGTTTGTGATGTAGGGCTCATGCTTGGAACGCTCATCATTTGTTCAATTAATTGCGCCGTCAGTTACAACTCAATGCATGGAATAGAAATTCAGGGTAAAAACTCCATCAGCCACGCTGTCCCTGGCGTTGAGACGCTTGTGCCTGTGCTTTAGCTGCTAATATTTCATTGGTTCTGCGTCGATGCTTATCTTGTGAATTTGCGTTGGGAAGATCCGTGAGCAACTCCCTTGGCATGGCATCTATGAACGCCTTGAGTATAACCCCTAGCAGACCACCGAACTGCTTCTGCAGGCCTGGTCGCAGCTCTTCCATAATCAGTGCGTCGTTTTCTTTCAAGAAGTGATTCATGGTGTCACCTAGTCAGAAAAATTGAACATAAAACTCAAGACCTCAAGGCAGGTGTTACTGGAAAAACCCATTTAATCTTCCATCAAAATCTTAGCATGACTTGAAACTATTAATGCTTCCTTGGCAGGCCAAATAACCATTTGTTACAAATTTATTGAGTCATGGCTGCATAAAAAAATAGAAAATGGGACAATGGACATTGAAAAGGGACCTGGATATCAGCGTCAACACAAAGCACTGTTGCTGGATTACCAGACTCCTGCGAAGGGACCAGCAGGGAAATGCTTCCCATGGCCCAAAGAGTAACGTGCTATACCAAGTCATTCCACAACAGGAATCAACAGCGCGGATATGGAGTAAAACAAACTCATTGACCCTAAACGAAATTATATTTTACATTTCCACAGAAGTGAAGTTGACGCGAGAGCTTGAATGGTCCGATTACAACAGGTGCTAGACTATGCATCTCCAAGCGAATTCGCACATATACCCTGTAACTCACTCAGGACTTGGTTGCCGCCAAAGAGGTTGTCGAACTTTACATCCGATGATTTGATCTTAAAGGTCATATCGAAGTTCTTCATGTACATCTTTCCGTCTGGCCTAAATCCCAAGTCGCTCTCGGCTTCGATCACGATTCCACCTGCAACAAACCGACAATTTTTGGTCTCTAGATAAATTTTGTCTTCAGGAATTACATTAAATTTTTGCTGTTTCATCTGTCACCAAAGATCGCCGCTTTCTGGAATAATTATCAAAGCATCCATTACATGTGCTCGGTTAGTAAGTTCAGTCAACGAATTAGGGAATGGTTGATTTATTATACTGGGTGGGCCATAAGTCACTGAACCATTTCAATATTAATAATTTTTTTATTTTAACAGTTCTATGCATGAAATTTTAGTATCATGCAGTCAATGCGATGAAAATTTATTTTCTATCACAAATTTCATTTTCTTCTTATCGCAAATTTACTTTTAGTATATGCTTTAAAACTTTATCGTTAAATGTAAAAAATAACATCCAGCATATGCCTTACATTTTCTGCTTCATAAATTGCAGCTCTTTCGATTACTTCTGACATAACCTTTTCCAAAGTTCCTGGGCTTATTTCTCTAGTGATATTTTCCTTTAGCCAGATTAAAGATTGCGGCATATGCAGGAGCTAAGCTCCCTGTTGTCCTAAACCTTTTCCTTTAGATATCCCCACGAGAAACGTCTTTGTAAGTGAGATCAAGAGAACGAGATGGCCAAATTGACCAAATCGAGAAATCAATCACCAAATCGAGAAATACGGTACAGAATTTCTTCCTAATTAATTTCCAAAATCTGATAAATAAAATATTAGGAAAGAAAAATATTAAGAAGTAAGAAAGATATTAAAAAATAAAAAGTGTCAGTGACTTGGCCCACCCTGTATATCAAAATTTCAACTTTTCCGAAACCAAGCAAATTAAATTTTTATCATGACATTGATTTACCTCCACCCTGTACGAGTGTCACCCTACGTACTCAGGAGAGATGCGTAGGCCCCGGCACCCTCGATGGGGAGCTCGAAGATGCGGCCAGTGACGTTGTATTTGCCTTTCAGCAGGAGTGTGGGGATGATACAGCCGACAAACATTTTCCTCAGCTTGAAATGCCAGCTTTAAAACCAACAAATCTTCAGTGGAATGCAAACACTTATAGATATACAATTGTATTATAAAATACTCGAAAATACATTTGCTAGCAAGGTAAATAGACACATGATAAATTAAACTGCACACAACTCAAATTTAGAAGATGCCTACTGCAGGAACATTACTATAATATACAGTCAACAGATACACGTTACACTCGGCACATTGAAAGGAATAATCTTTAAACTCCTCATCCAGTAGCACAATAAGCGGTCACTCAAGATGTCATCTGCATAATGTCTGATCAAATAGAGTAAACTGGCTGCACATACAAAAGGTGCCTGTACACAGGGATAGTACTAGCCGCTAGTTCATCCGGCGCTTGAACTGTCCACGCTACTAGACTCGTGTATAGGGGTTCAGCCGCTTCAGAGGCATGCGCCGGCAAGTGCCCGAGACGCGGCCGAAGGCGACAAGGATGTGTTGATTTCTGCGCTGAAGAAGTGGCTAGTTGCTAGTAGCGCTGATGCAGCCATGGTGAGAGCATCTGTGTCGCTCTTGTGAAGTATCTTTGGTCAAGTGAATCATGGCTTGTTTGAACGATAATGTTTCTAAGAAGAACCCAACAAAGTGGATACCAGACGGTATTCAATTATTCTTTGAAATATTCCAAAAATATGAATTAAAGTATAAACTTTGCCATGATGGTTACTCCAACAAAATGAAGAGAGAAACGAGTATTTTGAAACGGAAAAAATACCTCATTAGTCAGAGTTTAGTGGTTCCCGACGCTGCATTTTTAAGGCTAGAATAAAAAGCATAAAAACGAAGTAAAGATGTTGATGTAATCCACTATCCATCTTTACAGATTCACTCGACGGCTTCTAACGACGCACTGGCGGGCGCGAACGAGAATATAGCGGCACTTTATACTCTCCTTGTGTACAGGCTTACTAGCCGGATAGTAACCAAGCGACCGACACTTGCCAGATCTACTAGCCGTCTGCACTATCCCCGTGTAGAAGCACCTAAAGGTACACTATCAAACAAGTTAGCACCGTCAGATCAACATGAGAAATGAAGCCCAACCCCCAAAAATTAAAATTAATCCCAACGCATATTAGAACATCCGGTATTTTGATTAGTGACAAAAAATTCACACAGAAATAATCCAAACAATGTTAAAAAAAACTCCTTTTTCATCATGTACACTTCACAGACTATATTCATATTCACTGCTGAGCTCAAAAAAGGTACTGAGGTACTTAAGCTTTAGGCCCAGATCCCTTCTTATTAGCAAAATGTTGAACACCGACACGCGAGTTCAACGTCGCATTGCACAGAGGGCGGTAGTGGGCACCCAGCATGCAATGTCAGGTTGAATCAACGTTGAAACAACAAAACTCACGACATTGATACAACGTTGAAAATTAGCTTGGAAAGAAAATTTAGTCACCGTCATTTTTCAACGTCATATATTTAAACGTTGTTACGGCGTTGAAATCGCGTTAAATTCTGACTTTGATTCACATATATGTATTCGCGATTTTACCGTCAGTTGTCAACGCGATTTCAACGTTGAAAAAATAACGTTGATTCAATTTTCATTATAAACTAATATTCAACGGTATTTCAACGTCGTGAGTTTTGTTGTTTCAAAGTTGATTCAACCTAACATTGCCTGCTGGGCAGCTAACTCCACAAGTTAGTTCTGAACGTTGGTTGACCCTTAACCTACCCACACACATTCGTGCAACACTAGGGAGACTCACCAGAAAGTCAAGTACTGTATACAGCAGTGGTGTGATAAGGTCTCAAGTAAAATAAATAAATATATGAAATATTCCCAAGCTCCGTTAAATAATTTTATGTTCATATAATAAAATTGTTTATCAAAATTTTTTCAAAAACAATGTAAACAAATTCAATATAATGTGAACTAAATATAAGATTAGATAAATAATCATAATATCAGTCATTGTAAACTGAATTGTGATGATAAATATTAGGGAGCTTAGCACCCTTTCCGTGAAACCTTGGCCAGGGCTTAGCCCCCCACCTGTTCTTATAACCTACAGACGCCCCTGAGTTACAGAACGGCAAGACAAACCATCAATGACAGTTGAATAAACCTTATGCAAACACCTAAAAAACTTCTCAACCCAGCAGGTCTCGAGCGAACCATCTCGTCCTATCAGATCAAAACCTCTCATCCCTGTAAGTAATGCCAATATACTGATTTGATAAAATATTTCTGAATCACCTGGAAGAAAAGAAATTACTATCAATACGTCACCTAAACAGTGCATATTTTACGTAGTCTTGGCCTATTAATCCCTTGATTGTTCTCTAATGCCTTTAATGCCGACCAACACCTTTCAGCTTTTTACTCAATTTCTGAGACTCCTTCGGTTTCTCCGTTGCCACCTTCTTCCCACATTCTCCTTCATCCTGATAGCACCACATCTCCACCAATATTTTTATATCCCAATGATTGTGGAACATTCTTAATTATACTTCCTGGATTTACGTCGTTTAGAAACACTGTAATGGTGGCAACTGATGAATAACCTCAAGGTTTGCCCAGAATCGTTTCTTGTTCATGTGATTGCCCTCTCGTTGCATGTGCCGTCAGGGATAACAGGTACTCATTGAACTTCTGTTACATGGTGCAACCATGAGTCATCAACTAACTCGTGTCACATGACGGGGCCAAGACCATCACTAATTGAACTCGTCCCACATAAGGCGGCCATGGCAATCACGCATTGTACTCCTACCTGAATGTGTGTGTGGTCATTAGAGTCAGTAATGAAAGTCTTGTCTTATGACACAGCTATTGTCACGCATCGATCTCCTACCTCAAGAAGTGTTCATGATTGTCACTCACTCGAAGTATTTGATGTCAAACTTGGACAGGCCGGTTATGACGAGATCATCGAAGCGGGTGCGCACTTGTACGGGGCCCTCCAGCGGGTTGAAAACGATGGGGTCCAGCCGGTGGGGGTCCATAGGAGGAACATTCAACCGTGGAATACCTGCGCGATGTTTAAGGCGTTTGATAAGGTGGCAGGAACAGTCTGTAATGGAGGGATCATGACAGAGTGGCATTGAGAAGAAGTTTTGACATTGGGGTGATATGTTCAGTATGGTGGTGTAGAGCAGGGGCCTCCAAACTTTTTTCACCAAGGGCCACGAGCAAGCTTTCTGAAGCCTTCACGGGCCGGTCACATCGCCCATTTACTGTTTTTAGTTCACGCGTAACCAGAAATAAACACCACGCTCGATTTTTGTACACATTATACTGAACTACAAGATATCCTCTGAGGGCCGGATGGAGCGTATAGCCGTGGACTGGATCAGGCCCGCGGGCCGTAGTTTGGAGACCCCTGGTGTAGAGGAAGGAGTCTTTGAGTGGTCTTATAGTGAACTCAGTGGTTAGGGATATGTGAGGAAGTTCATAAGGCATTAAGGTGGAATTATTAATTGGGATAATATAGTTAATAACTTTTGGCGTTGAAATTAAATTAGCGAAAGTAGTTGGGGGTGAGGGAGTTGTGGAGTTTTCGAATATCTATGACGTGAAACTCGAAGAGATCCTGAAAGGAAATATCGGTAATGCTGAATTTTTAATTAACGTGGACCATTCATTGTAATGTAAATTTAGGTGTCATGCAAATTTGTTGGTTTGAAAAAATTACTATTTATTTATACTTTTGATCATAGGTTATTGTATTTAATCATCAACACATTGTTTTTAATTCCACAAGAAGTACGACCGACAATCATGAAGAAAAAGAAACAACTTTGCCCGACAAACATGATAAAACCTCATGCGGTGGCTCCGGGCCGATTGAAATTAGGCGTATTCGTAATCGAACCATCTGACATTAGCCTCATGAACCATCCAACGAACGCAGGCCGGCATCATACCCCAAACTTCAGAGTCGCGCATCACACCCCAAACTTCAGAGTCGTGCATCACACCCCAAACTTCAGAGTCGTGCATCACATGCCATTACTCACCAGCGGCAAACTGAAGCCTGATCTTCATGAGGGCGCTAACGATACACTCGTTGAGACGATCGATGTGGTTGTTCCTGCAGTTCATCAACATAGTAGCTGCCAACAAAATAACTGATCTTGAACTTGTTCATTGACAGATTGCAATCACATTGTCAACGAAGTAATTTACGGATGCGCACAGTGATGCAAATAATTACAGGTATGAAATGACAATGATAATAAAAATAGCTTAATGTTTTTCTATTGCAATCACCTGAACTATATATAGATAATTGTGCTTCGTGCATTACTCCATGCCTGCGAAGAATTGACTAATTTTAATTTTACCATACTTTGGAAATATTCTACAATAGATCACGAGCATTTCATACGAGGCTGATGGATGAACAACTATACATATACATGTATATTTAGTACTGCTACAATGTCCAGTGTTTCCTTCATGTGGTAATGAGAACTAAACGGTAATAAAAATAACATATTTTCCATTGAAAACTATTTTCGATGAAACTTTGAACAAATCCTTAAAACTTCGACCACCCCCATCTTCATTACATCATCCACTTTCATCATCCTTCAGAGCAACTCATCCTGCAGCCACCAAATCAACCCGACACCTCGAGACAAGAGTTTATACAGGATTCAACTAAAAAATATAGACTTTAGACTATCAACTGACAGATTCGTTATATATCAAGCGTCCCGCAGAAGTTAACGCACCTTAAATCATACTAACCGACTCCGCGCCCAGATTCTAAGCCGGTACTGATGATGGCGCCTCTGTTTAACGACCAACTCACCTCCAAAAAAGCCACCGAAATATTCAGAAAAATTTATCTACAACCTGAAATCCACCAGACCTCTGATCATCACTACTCATATTTCTTGGACAACTCATAAAGATATTGGAAAAAAGACGCCGGCAGAAATGAAAGCGGAGACAAATTCAAAAATGAATACGTATACAGGATATTATTATTCAAAAAACCGGACTTCACTCACGTAATTGAAATAATCACCACAGACATTATCATTGTATAATGCATACTAGACGACTGCTTCTCCACGTTTAACATGAAAATCAAACCCACACAGTGCACACATGCGAAGTATTCGCACATTCTCATCTGTTACAAATGCTACAAATAGTCAACTACCCCCACCTATGCTCCACCACCTCACTATTCTGGTTTTCCTACACATCCCCCGACTATACCTACACACAATGCAACAACACGTACAAAAAATGCAAATTGTTCAAGTCAATATAACAATTTAATATCATATTGATATAAAATAATAATATAATAATAATAATAACTTATTATTGTTATATTAATAACAATAATATAACAATAACAATATAATAGCTACAACTTGCCCCGTGTATAAGCCTATTCGCCTGCAAAACTTGAGGCGGCGACTTATTGCAGCCCGTAACATTATAACTACTTCAACTTGCCCCATGAACGCGCACCTTAATTAGTGACAACTGCATTGCAGCGCTGCTATTGGTTGCACCGCACCACAACTTCATTTATTTTTTAAATATTTTAAATTTTTTAAATATTATTTTACATTTTTTAGTATACGCTGGAAGACAAAATTTTATGAACAAAATTCATTACATTATTTAGATGAATGACCGCTTATTTAGATGAACGACCGCAGTGCGCAGCATACGAACGAACAGACGAGCTTCATATAAAATCGACTACTGAATAATTTTATTAAATCTTTGGTAAAAATTAATTTCATAAATCTTACTAACCAAAAGGTAATTTGCAATATTCCAGCACAAACTTTTGATTTTTCAATATGCTTTACAGATTATCCTCAACATCAAGCCAATGAGTTGGATATTGGTGTTATGTAAATATAATGAGATAGCAATTAAATGATATCTCATTTGAAATCAAATAGCTTAAATACTATACTAATTATGGTCATATGATTTTGACCTGAGAGTCTGCTATAATAGAAAGCATTCTGAAAATTATACACTGAACGGTAGACCAAGATTAATAAAAAAAATCAACACCCAATTGCAGTAGAAAAAAGAAACTGGGAGGATGAGCGACTTAAATGTATTCACGTGATATTGCAGTTCTGGAGCAGCGCACACTAGTTCGTCTACCATTTACAAGTGATTATTGATGAGCCACAAGATAACGCAAAGACAGAAAGCCGTTTCTTATACAAGGAAGTCACAACATCGACATGCGCGACAATCACAGTTCTACTTTCACCGTTTTCCGAAATTTTTAAAAAGTGTAAATAGTCCTTACATTTTTCGGTGCTGGGGCTAGTATGAAGAAACTATAATAATAATAGTAATCATTCCAGACAGAATTTTTTATTTTTTAAATCCATGCCAACAACACAATTTAGTGACCCGCATATATAGAGTCGCACCATATCTTTTCCTTTGTTACGTCCTCAGTTGCGCCCTCAACTTAATTAGTACGCAACCTCGAAATTTCCTGCAATTGATTCGCGCGTGACTGCTTTGATAAAGAAGGCAATTCACCTCGAAATTATTTAAATAGTGCATGTTTCAACATCAAAACCGGTGAATTCGAAATATTCACGTGTAGTACATTTTCAATTTTTAGCTGATGCTGGAGTTGGACTCCGAAATTTCCATTAAAGCAATTGTGAATTTGCTTGAGGTTTTCTTTGCCTTTAAATTCTTAGAGAACTTGCGATTTTATCAGACAAATTAATTAAGTATTGGTAGATTCGAGTCTTAATTGTCTTGTTTTATTTCAAATTGATCAGCTGCAATAACCAGTGATCTGAAAAAAGTCATCAGAGCTGCGATTTATTTTTATAAATTCACATCAAACACTTTTTTTGCGCTGGCTTTAAAAAGAATTGAATAAATTCCGGTGCTAAAATAATAAAGATACCACTGCGCCCGTAGTTGTCTTATGCGCCCATGCTTATCTAATTTTAAAAACGAAAACAGACTTCAAGTTCTGATGGCAATTCGCTCAAGAATGCTTCTCGAAATCCGAGAATGCTTCTCGAAATCACTTGGCGGCCGTACAGATATCAAAATAATTTATTGTCCTAATTGTACTGATACTTTTCTGGATCATATTTTACAATTAATAGTTGATTACCCGATAGTTCGGAAGTACATCGGTAATCTCGAATTAATGTATTACTAGATTAACTTTTGTCTGACATGCAAGGTGATCGTTACTTATATGATGAATGCAAGTACGGTTTTTTGCCTGCAATAGTCATGATAACTTTAAAAACTGTACCGTGGTTAGGGAATGTTTACACCTGCTGGTTACGCTTGTATAGGATAACCTCTTAAATAAGAGGTTATCCATATACAAGCGTAACCAGCAGGAGTTATGAAGCGGATAGCATGAACATGCTCGCTAGACATGCTTATTGATCATTATAATTATTCAATAATGATGATTATATTTTTTACACCACCACACCGCTATAATCACTTGCAGTTACGATTTGTGATATTTTACACATAAAATTTAGGCACTAACTTACTATCTTATCAGTTTAAATTTGTACATAAATGAGCACGTGTATTTTTTATGATGCCATGTATACTCGATAAAGGCCAAACCTCTGCAGTTGTCTGAATTCACTTACTAGCACTTGCTTTGGTCCCACAACAAGTCAGCTCTGAATTCGTACGCTGCTACGGGATCGTCAACCCTTAACTTATTCTACGTCCCACACATTAGTTACTATTGTTCTTATTCTCCCTGTTTCCCACAGTGCACCTGAATATTCAGCTTACTATCTTAACAGTTTAAATTTGTACATAAATGAACACGTGTATTTTTTATGATGCCATGTATACTCGATAAAGGCCAGTCAGCCAAGATAGATTGCAACCAGTCCCCAGACGACCATTCAAAAAACCTACCAGATAAGAGCGTTCAACATCCTGATGTCTTCGGGCGTCTCTCGAGGAGAAAAAAAATCCCTCCCAAGACAACACAAACTTTGTTGCCCCTCAGAGCTGTGGGAGCTTCAGCAGCCTATGGTCGATAACCTTGTGATTTTTATGGGAGTGTTCTTTGGGCAACTCGCTTCCACTGTTGAAAATGTCGTCTGGAGCTCCCATAGAGTACGTCGTTGCTCGGGATTGGCGCAGTTTTCGGACGAGCTTTTCCGTCATGCTGTATAAGGGTTTAGATGATAAGCCTTGTGAAATATTGCCCAGAGAGATGCATTATTTTTTTATGCTCCAGCTTAAAGCAACTCATACTATATACCATGCATTTTCCCAAACAAGCGAACTAAAGGGAAGACGTCAATAACACGTGGAATTTTTTACACCACCGCCAAGCATCTTCTCCTTCTCCAGTTGGCGAGATTCAATCCTTCGAAAAAAAATTAAAGTCGTTTACTGGTGGAACTTGTACTGGGTTTGATTATTCTAAGTTTGAGGATACGTTATGTTTTCACCGCTTCCTCATTCGAAAAATATAAATGCGCTTGTTTAAATATGCGGATCTGTTTTTTGTAAAAATTTGATGACCTTATTTTAACACTTAAAAACACCGCCAAGCTAGCAGTATCTGCTCGTTCTCCAGTTGGCGAGAATCAATCCTTCGAAAAAAATTAAAGTCGTTTACTGCTGGAGCTTGTACTGGGTTTGATTATTCTAAGTTTGAGGATACGTTATGTTTTCACCGCTTCCTCATTCGAAAAATATTAATGCGCTTCTTTAATTATGCGGATCTGTTTTTTGTAAAAATTTGATGACCTTATTTTAACACTTAAAAACACCGCGTTTGCATACTATTTTTTTCATATTTCTAACGTCGTTCTTCTATTTGGAATGTCTGGAGTAACAAGTTTACCTTTTTTTAAAACATGGGGGAGAAACGGTACAGTTATGCGCCTAAACGTTCCAACAAATGGGGGAGAAACGGTAGATATGGTGGCAGTAACGTTACAGTTAGACGACTAAACGTTCCAACAAAATAAACAAAATAAGCAAAACGTTAAAGTCTACCTCACTAAGACAAAGTATTAATTAAAATCTATCAGGGGAAACATTCTTTTATCAGCTGATACCCCAGCTCCAACTGCAATAGTTTTAAACGAAAAAATTTTCTTAGAATATGAGC